ACCCGCTAGAAAAATGTTAGGACTGGGCTTTGCTATATGGGCTTTTTAAAGGGGGTAAGATGCTTTAAACTCGATTTGAACAAGCCTAGCCCAAATTGAACTCAACACGAATAAGTCCAACCCATGAAATTTCTAACTCTGTATATGTAAAGTAGGTAATTTTAGCAAAGCTAGATGGCCAGCCCAAACCTGGCCAAAAAAATAAGAGTTGGACTTAGCTATATAGGTTTTTTTTAAAGGGTAAGATATTTTAAGTTCAATCTGAATAAACTCAATCCAAATTGAGCCCGATCTGAATAAGCCTACCTCGCTCGAATTATTGACTTTAATCTAAAGCTTGACACTTGCCAGTGAAAGAGAGAGAGATATGTAGATATTTTGATCACTTTGACTTTATAGGACTATTGTATTTTCTAGAAGTGGTAAAATACATATTAAAAACGTAATTAATATTTTGATGCTGACCCAAAAAAAAGAACTACATTAGTTAATTAAAAATATGTGATTATAAGAAGGAAACAAAGATAACATTCCCTCCATTACAAATTATAAAATATTTTTTAAAAATATTCAGTGTTTTAAAATATAAGACACTTTGATAAAAATAAAATTTCATTAATGATATTTTTTTAATATTACCTTTCTCATATATTCTTTTTTTATATTCTTTTATAAATGGATATTAAATGAAAAAAAATTTTAAAATTTTATATTTTTATTTTGAAAAAGTAAAATTTTAAAGTGTATTTAATAAATTTTATTAATACGCGTAATTTGATCTAAAAGTTCTTATAAATCGGAATGCCCGAATGGAGGAAGTAAATTTTGTATACCTTAAATGTGTCTCAATAATCGATCTAATTCCTGAACTTTTATATTCGTTAATCAAGTCCCTAAAATTTCAACATCATGAACAACTGGTCGTATATGGTTTCAAGAGAAAATAACATTATAAAGATTAATTGTGAATATTATATTTCAGGAGTCAAATTGATAATCAAAATAAATTTAAATATCAAAAGTTTCACTTTCAGGTTTCAAGGAAAAAATATTCCTTAAAATATATCCATCATTTAATAATTAATTCAGAAACGGAATAATTAAGATCCATCATTGCCAAAGAAACGTCGGAATTATCACTTACTGAGTTACTTCCCCCCTCTCTACGCCCTTTCGTTGCCACTTGCGTTACTCTCTCTCTCTCTCTCTCTCTCGAAATCTGATCATTTTGTGATTTGCTTTGCAAGCTGATTCTGATATATTTTGGCTTCTACTATTACTATACATCTTGTTTAACCTTATTTCATGGCTTCACAGTCCCTGAGAAAACATGCAAAGAAACCTTCCTTCTTCAAGGTCTTGATTCAGGATTTCTCTACTCGCTTGGTTAGTACTCTATACATAGTATCATTCATTGATTTCTCTTCCTTTTCTCACTTTAATCAAATGACATGCAACCTCCTGCATTAATCTTCATTTTTGTTTTCTTATTTCCTTTCATATATATTATCTAGAATCATGGCTTTGACAATGTGAACTAATATCTTCTTTTAGTTTCACTTGTTTTGATGTCTCAAAGTTCAACTACATTTTCCTTCAATATATATATTATATTTCTGTGATTTATTTATGCTAAAAGTTAGAGCAAAGTAATGAGAAGTAATTAATTACAAGTTTTTAACAGTCTATATGTTCTCTGTGGTGATATATTAACAGAAAATCCCACCAGCTTTTAAAAAGATATGCCAAAGAAAAGATTAACACTTATTGAGACTTATAATGGTCGATCTTCGGAAGTTGAAGTGGAAAAGCTCGGAAACAAATTTTATTTTAATAGTGGGTGGCATAAATTTGTGGAAGATAATAATTTGGAAACTGGAGATTTCTTGGTGTTTAAATATTTTGCAGATTATTCAAAGTTTAAGGTCAAAATCTTTGGCAAAACTTGCTGTGAGAAGCAATCCAATGTGGTTGTTGAGGAGAGGCCTTGTGAACCTCTTAATGGTAAAGTAGATCGTCAGAGAAATGCACAAGAAGGAACAAAAAGAAGGAGGAATGAAGAAGAAGAAGATGATGATGATGATATTGCAAGAAGCAAGAAGACTGAATTTGATAGATCCAAAGCATTTCAAAGAAATATAATTAATATTGATTCAGACTCTTCTTCTGAATCAGATGAAGAAGGTGGAATTGGTAAGCTTCAATTCAGTTTTGCCCTTAATCTTTTTATTTTTCATTTGTTTGGAACTAGAATAATACATATTCTTTCTCTTAATTAAACATCAAAGTTAATTGTTGGTGTTTTATTCAAAAATTAAGGAGGTATTCAGGAAACAAAAGCAGAGACCATGAAATCCAAGAGGAACAGAAAGCACAGAAATTTACCTTCAGATTACAATGACCAAATATATTTCACTTCTGAGAATCCTTTCTTTCAGCTTCAACTCAAGTATTCAACTGCAAATTTTTATATAGTAAGTTCTTCTCTTCAACTTTACCTCACAATCACAATTCTGATATATTTAGCATCATCATGTTTGGTCTCGTACATGTTTGCTTCTACAGCATATACCCACAAATTTTCTGAGAAAACATACGAAGGAGCTGATGAACAAAAGGATCAAGTTTCAAATATCCCAAAAGACTTGGAATGTGAAGCTTCTTGTGCCCAAACGTGCAGATGATTCCCAACATAAGAAAGAAGCGAGAGTCACTAAAGAATGGAAAAAACTAGCGAAAGAATATCATTTAAAAGAAGGAGATGTCTGCATCTTTGAAATCATCAAAAGTGATGATTTTGACTGTGTTTTTCGTCTTCATGTTTATAGATGGGATAATAAGAGGGAAGAGTTTTGCAAGCTAATTTAATTTAAAATTTTAATTTCATGACTTTAATTTTATGTTGGTTTTTTTTGTTGTGTTGTGTGCATGTTTTTTTTTTTTAATGCTGAACTTTAATTTGTAGGATGTGATTACAATGATGGATTTGGGTTTGAGTTTGGTTTGTAATTTTATTTATTTGCTTTCTTACCATTTTGTTGACGTGAAACTGATTTTACTGCTATTTACTTTCATACTAGCCCTGTTAATTTCCTCTATTTTGTGTCATAATATTGTTGTGACAGAGAAATGAGGTATTTTCAATTTTTTTTTTTGGTAAAAGAAAAAGCCACAAAGGCTTTAATCGTAATATCCAATCAATGAGGGGAGATAAGGACAGTAATTACTTATTTTAAAATTATTTATTCTCTCTATGTAATCTAATGTCTTTGAAGGTAACATTGACTTAACTACTTAACTTTATATATTTTAGATACTTTTATCTAATTAAATTAAAAAAATTAAATTTTAATTTTTTAATACTATTAATAATAAAAAATTTATAAAATAAATTATTTATATTTTGATTTAATTAAAAACAAGCAGTCTAAATGTGTAAAACTAAATATACAATTTTTTTTTTGGGCCATGTGGCAGAACTTATTCACTGGCCCATAACAAATTGAAGTATGAAATTAATGGAAACGTAACCAATTGCGACATACAAATAAATAAAACATGCAGGATAAATTTCGTAAGATATAATAATAAATACAACCTTTTCAAAATAAGTATACTTTTTTAGTGGAAATTAAAAAACGAGACTTATGATCGGCCCATGTTTAAACAGGTCAACCTGTTCACCAATCTGGCAATTTCGTTCTGACCCAATTGGTTGGCCCTTTCTAACTTTAAAGAGAGCGCGCGTGTAAGAATATCAATTATAAAATTATAATATTCGTAAAAGTTCTAAATTTAATTACTTTTTTAAAAAATTATCTAATAATTAAAAAATGCAACACTTAAGTACTTAATGTTATATACTTAGTTTTAAATTTTTATCCAATTAAATCAAGTGAATTTTAATATATTAATAATATTAATAATAAAATCTTGTTATGGGATAAATAATCTATAAAATATCTATATGTTTTGATTTAATTGAAAACAATTACATTACATATATAAGGTTAAATATATATATTTTGTCTTTTTTTAAAAAAGTATATGAGGTTATGGGCCCATTTGTTTTAACTTATTTTATGAAAATATCAATTAACTTTTGGAAAAAAAAATCTGTTTTATTAGTTTTCATTATGTTTATTTAAATTTTTAAAAATAATTAAAATATGAGAAAAAATATATTTCTGATTATTTTAAAAAGCTACTTTGAGTAGTTTTTGAAAATAATCAGTAAATAAGAAAGAGAGTATTTTAAAGAGACAGGATACACAAATATATCATAATATTTTAAAATAATATAATAATAAATTATTTTTATAAAATCAAAATCAAGAAAGATATCATAAAATTTAAAAATAACTAATTAATGATCACTTTTTTATTATTGTAACCAAACACAAAATAATGTCTACATTTTATAAAATATCTACAAAATAAATATCTTTTTGTAAAACCTCTAAACTACTTACAAATCACTTATTTTTTAATTATAAACAAACGTACTTTAAATATATAAGTTTTTTACTTATATAAGATTAAGTATATAAAATTTATTCTTAAAAAAAGTATATATTTATTAAAAATTAAGGAGAAAAGAGGAAATTATTAATATAGCAGATGCATTGCTTGGAAACCAAGTTTCAAATCTGCATCAAGCATATCTTCTGACAGAAGGAAAACGAAAAGAGTAGGATGTGAAAATGTGAAAGTGGATATTAATTAGATATACGATCTTAATGTTTTATTTATCTTAATAAAAATATGTACACTCATTATTTTCTTCCGCCAGTCATGTTGTTTCCTATTTTCACCCTTCTTTCCTTTTTTTTTAATCGAAAAAATATAAATTTATTTTAAAAAAATCACAGTCAGCCTGATTCCAGGAACACGACACGTTACTCTTAAACGGACACGTTACACGCACACAACTCACAGTGATCTGCAATATCACATCCTTCTGATACTCGTCTTCTGAATCATCTCCCCAAAAAGCTTCCATGGACAGACCTGCACAGTCCCAAACGAAACGCAAAAACGCTACCTTCTTCAAGGTTCTGATTCAAGATTTCTCTACCTTCTTGGTTAGTATCCCCCACCTGATCTTTTCTTTTTCTTCTTAATATATCAATCAAGTTATTGATAATATTCTTTTTTTTTTTTTTTGCTTTTTTCTGGTGTTAACAGCAAATCCCACCGGCATTTAACAAAGTGATTGGCAAAGATGTGCCAAAGAAAGCAATGCTTGAGACTTATTATGGTAAATCTGAAGAAGTCGAAGTGGAAAAGCGTGAGAATCGAGTTTTTTTCTGTAAGGGATGGAGTAAATTTGTGGAGGACAATAAATTGGAGAATGGAGATTTCTTAGTGTTCAAATATATGTCTGATTATTCAAAGTTCAAGGTCAAAATCTACGGCAAAACTTGCTGCGAGAAGGAATGTTACAATGATGTTGCTGGAGATCAGACAAATAATAATAAAAGAAAGAGAGATGAGGAAGAAGAAGATAATGTGAACGAAGATGATGGAGAAACATCGAAAGCTGCAAAAAGAATTGAGACAGACTCTGATGTTGAAGACGAAGCTTCTGATGAAGATGAACCCATTGATATTGAATCTGATTCTTCTCGTCCTGTCGTCGTAGAAGGAGATAATGATGAAAGAGAAGTTGCAGGTGAGCTATTTGATGCGTTTTTATCGTTTCAGAAATTTAATTTATTTTTAAGATTTCAGAGTTAGATTGAATTCTGTTTTAATTTATTTTTAAGATTTCAGAGTTAGATTGAATTCTGTGTAGTTGATTGTGTGTGTGTGTGTGTATATATATTTTTCTTTTTTCTTTTTGTGGATCTTAAATTAATCGGTATCGCACCTATATATGTATATATATATAATTAAATGTTCTAAACCAGAATTTTTATAACAAAATAAAATGTTTTAGACAACTTAAATCCGTTTGGTTGGGGGAAGAGGAGGGATAGGATTTTACTCCTGTTCTCTTGTTTGGCAGGGGAGAGGTATATTTTTATTGTATAATGGCCAATATGCTTTATTTTTTTTATTCATAACTATATTTTATTAAAAAAAATTTAATAATATAAAAGTAAAGTTATTTATATATACTTATTTTTCTTATTCTCCTCACCTGAATCAAACAAGATAATATTAAAACCCTCCTCTTTCATTCATTACAATCCCTCCCCTCCTTTTCTCTCAAACCAAACGCACATTTAGGATTAAAGGATAGAATCGGGTCCTTCTTCGGTGCATGGTAAGTACCTTGGTGCTTATCAAGTTCCATCCAAATTTAATTCAAATAGTTCAAATTTTTTTAAATAGATAAGCTCATAATTAATCTGGATATTATATATTTAATTTAAATTATATATTTTAATATTAAATTTTTATAATTTTTATAAAGTGACTATTCTTGATGGGAAATTTTAAAAAAAATATTTTTAAATAATTACAAGTTAGAAATTTTAAATTTAAACAATTTAGAGTAAATCTGAATAGTCAATTTATTAAAAATTATTAAAAATTTTAATATTAAATTGGACCTTCTAAGTTTACTTTGTCCCAATTGATAAGGAATATATTTATATATTTTTAATAATTTTTATGTTAATAAATGTAAAATAAAAATAAAAGCAAAAATTTTAAATCTAAATCGTCCAAATAAAAATTTGAACATTCTAGATTTTATCAAGTGCACATCAGGGTGATGAGCATCCAAGTTAAACGCAATAGAATCAGCTAAAAATAACCAATGATTGAGGTCAATTATTTTAAAAGTCTCAATATTTTCAAAGGCAAAAGTTGTTCAAAATCTAAGAAAATTGCAGTTTAAGTAATTTTATAATAATTTTTAAAGTTTAATAACCATCCCCGTAAATTCTGAGATAAATTTTTGTATAGAATAAGTAAATTTTACGGTTTCTAAAATATAATATATTATTTTTTTTTATTGTTTTTAGAATTAACGTCCCAAAATTGACTTGGGTGCAGGTAAATCCAAGCAGTCAACGAGTGAAGAGAGGAGGAATGAAGAGGGCGAAGCATTGGCTAATGATAATCAAATAGAATTTAAATCTGAGAATCCTTTCTTCCAAGTCAAACTCAAATCTTCAAGTATCAGCAGCTATCTGGTAATTAAGCTTTCATCTTCTTTACAAATAATTGTAATATATTAATTTATTTAATATCTTTAATTTTTTTCCTTTTCTTAAATGAATTTTTAATCGGAAAAAGAAACGAGTATTCGTTGATTAAATTAGCGGTTGACAAAAAAATTAAGAAAGTAAATTCCTCACATAAAGTGAACTATATGATGATTTTTTTTTTTAACAAATAGATATTTCATTTTATTTCTTTTGCATGCAATACGAAGTCTATGATCTAAATAGAATTGCTGTGATGTTGTTTTTACCTTAAGCAACTTGAAACTTTTTCTTTTGTTTTTGTTTTTGTTAGTTTATATTGCGCTTAGTCCTCTGAATTGGGTTCTTTTGTATGTCAATTTTTTCACTTAAAGTTTTACAATTTCTCAATTGCAATAAATTATTAACCCCTTAAGGATTAAACCAATAACCTAAAAATGCTTGGGGACTTATGAAATGAGAACCTATGTTAACTTCTCGTAGGATTATATCTTCTTATGTCTAACATGATGTGGTACACTTTATATATAGATTTTATGATCACCAACTAACTGGGTGATTAACACTAATCATCTTTGATTAATCTAACTGGTTGACCTGTTATGTGTGCATTTGAAGAGGTTAAGATAATGAGGAAGACAAAATAACTTGACTTAATCTTACTATCTCTCTCTTATGTATTTACAAACTCCATATTGAAAGTAATCAATGTATATATTTACAAAGTCACGCACTCAATACAGGATTCAACATATATATGTTTTGGTGCAATTAATTGTGTTGTTATGCGTTGAGCAGAATATACCATTGAGCTTTTCGAGAGAATACATAAGGAAGGAGAGCCAAAGGCAAGAGATAAAGCTAGAGATGTCAAAGTGCAACAAAATGTGGGATGTGGGTCTGATGGTGTTGTGGGGCCCAGGCAACAAGAAGGTTATTGCAGGAGCAAGACTGAGTCAGGGATGGAAGGGCTTCGTCTCAGAATATCAGCTGCAAATGGGAGATCTCTGCATCTTTGAAATGATCCACCATACTCATCACCTTCTCTTCCGTCTTCATGTTCATCGATGGGATCAACAGAACCACAAGTTTATTCACATATTTTAGGACATACACCGTTATCAAATCCTCGATCACTCCCCCTAGCCATCCTGTTTCTGTTCATAGTCTTCAAGTTTGTAAGTCCTAATCTGGATAATGTTATTTTGGTTGTGTTTTTGTATTTTGAGCGCGTATGATCTGATCGTTTAAGTTTTTTATTTAATGCTACTACATATTCTATATCCTGAAAGGATAGGATGATTGTCAGTTTATTTTTTATTTTTCAACGGAAAATCAGTTCAAGGTCCTTTATAGGGATTCTTTGATTGTCGGTATATTTTTTACTATCAGTCTTTATTTTAAGAAAATTAATTAACTATAATAATTATATCTGAAAATAAAAAATTATATTAAAATACTTTATATTAATCAACATAAGCATGTATTAATTATTTTTTATTAATGTAAATTATGAGAGATGATATAGAAAATGTATAATATGTGCTTATTGAAATAGGTGATTTTGCTTATATAAAAAAAATAAAAAGTAATAGTTTTTTCTACAAACAGAAATGAAGGGAGTATTAACTAATAGCTATGATTTAATGGCATTAAAATAAAAATTAAAGGATTTGATTTCACAATATCTCTCAATTGAATAGGAGCTTAATTGAGGGAATGGAGAGAATTTCATCTAAGGACTACCATAGCCACTTATTTACAACTTAGATCCAAAAAAACTAAATTACACCGCAGGATTTTGTGACTGAAGTGAAATAAAATGATGAAGCAAAATATACTTCTGTAACGAATTATTATATCTAACTTGCTATTTTACAACATTAGTACTAAATCCATTCATCATCAACCATTAATTTTACTAGTAAAATTGTTAACATTATTTGTTAATCAACTTTGCATGTTAAGTTCATAACATTTATTTTCAAATGTTAGGACAATTTGGTCATGCCGCACCAAAAAAAAAAATTATTTCAGTTAAGTCCTCCAATACTTATCGTGTAATTTCAGAATTTTTTGATATGATTTGTAAATAAAAAGTTATCAAGATCCTCAAATAAAATTCTCCGTGAATTCTTTCAAAGAATCCCAGGCGTGAATTATTTACGGCTCCCAGCTCTTTACACCATAATAAAGGTAAAATATTAAATTATAAAGATGATGAAAGAGAAGTGCATATTGCATATGATATCTGAATTTATGGAGATGATCTGAATTTGCGTCCTAGAAAGAAAGAAACTAAGGCTGAAGAAAATTTTGTAGAAAGAAAACGCATTCAAAGGTAGCCATCAAAGGCCCACTGATTCTCCTTACGAATTTGTGCTTCTTCTTCAGGAGAAAAATCATTCTTGATGCCGAAAGTCCTACGAAACTCCTCCGGACTCTTAATTTCTACGATCCTGTCGCTCACAGTCCGGATTGTTAGATCCCTGAGGCTCTTGATTTGCAGATAATCCGCCGCCAGCGTAAGATCGAACAGAGCGCTCCAGTCCACGTTCAAGAACTCAGCGTCCCACCTGCGGAGCTCTGCGTCGTCGGCGGCCATGGCATGCTTCTGGCAATACTCGATGACCTTGGCCAACGTCTCGCCATTCACATTCTCTATCGGAATTACGCCGTCTACGCAACCGTCATCGATCTTGTTTTTCAGAAGTTGCCATGTCAGTGCGATGTTCACGTCTATCTCGAGTAGGGTTCCGTCGTTGCTCTCCAGAGTTAGCTTCTCAGACGAAGGCGTTGTCGTCATCTTTCTGGAGAAGAAGGGTTGGTCTGGAGAATTCTTTTTCACAGTACTCTTTCGATCTTGTGGTATTTTAGAAAAGTTAAAGTGAATATATATGCACGATCGGGAAAAAGGGCGGGCTTGACCGTTTTTAACACTTTTTACGGGATAAATTAAAATGGAAAACATATTTAATTATTTATCTTAATTTTAATTTTATGAGAAAGGTGAACGTGTAAGATTTTATGAGTAAATTTGGATTTAAATTTTGCATTTAAAATTTCGTATTTTAAATCTTATATTTTAAATTCAAAGATGTAGAATTCTTCATTTGATAGGTAGTTAAAAAATTTCAGAAAAAACGGAGATAAATTACAATTTGAAAAAAAAATTAAAAAAAGATGAAAGACAATAATAAAAAAATGAGTATATTACATTTTATAATTATTTTTTTACTTTTAAATTGTAAAATATTTAGTAATTTTCTTAAGTAATATTTTTACTTTTTTTAATCTTTTCTTGCCCTATATTTTTAATTTGATAATTATTTTCACCTAAAATCAATTTTTAATAGATTTTTTTATTAAATTTTTCTTTCTTGTATCCAAAATCTGATTCAACAAATTTTGGAAACTGCCTCCAGACCTCCACGATGTAGCTGATATATGATTAGTGAAAAATCTGGAATAAAATATTTATAATTTTTTATTTTATTATTCTGTTAGTTTGTTCCTTAAATTTAAGAAAATTTGTTGCCTCAGTTTATCTTTCAGTTGTATTTTTGCAAGCTCAACAGTAATAAGGAATTCAGAAACTATTTGCTTCTGCACTCTCTATCGTTTTATTTCTCTCTTAAACCAGAAGATTTAAATTAATCATGATTAGTCTAACTATGATCTCTTCATCGACTCTTGAATCAATATAATGCCCCGTCTATTTTAAAGCGAATCTATTTTTCATTTTTAGATAATATCACATTTGCAAGACGTTCTCAAATATGTCCCCCGGGCACATCCTAAAAGAAAATACTTGGAGTTTATCAAAAAGAAAAAAGAAAAAGAAAAGAAAATACTTGGAGAAGGTCGACAAGGTGATAATGAGAGTTTCCAATGAAGTCTTCTCTCATAATAAAGAAGAGAATGAATGGGAGTTTATGGGAGTTTATCATTTGAATTTTGAAAGCTGTCTTTGATTTAAGTTACTTTACAATATTATTTAATATTTTTGGAATATATTTAAATTAAATAAATGGATGAAAAAAATAATTTCAATCAAGGGATATATAATAGGACTTTCAGCCCCTTAAGTTTGCTTCAATTATTAATTTAGTCCTTTTTTAAAATAATTATATCAGTCATTTAATTAAGTTTTAAAACAAAATTAATGATCAAATTAGTCTAAATAATGTATATTGATTATTTAGAATATATATGTAGCTAAATAAGAATAAATTAGACCTCACATCAGCTTAATTTTTATCAATATAATCTCTTATTTTGTATTTTATTCTTTGTTTTTAAAATTTTTTTAGTATCTCTTTCTTTCCTATCTAAATAATTATACTTTTTTTATTCATCTACATTGCTACCATCAATATTTCTCTATTCATGTCAGTAAATTTTAATTATATTATATCCTCTTTAAACAATAAGAATCAAATTAATAACTAAGAGTTTAAGACAAGCATAACAGATTAAACCAATAAAATTAAATTTAAATGATGGAATTAATAAAACTCATACAAACCAAACCAAAAACCAAGACCAAACAAACGAGAGAACAAACTAGAAAACAACCTACAGTACATGATTCAAACATAATCAAAGGAAAATTCCTCGAATCAACGAATTCACAATCCAAGAAAAGAGTTAATAGGGATAGGGGCTGGCAAGCCCAATCTGAACCATGCCTTTCCATAGTTTCAATAGAATAAAAGCAATCATTACATTTTTTGGGCCAAGGAAGAAACAAATACATTAAAAACGAAACAAAGTCATGACTAGCAACAGAACACAAAGAAAAACAACAAAGAACCTGTCCATAAGCAACAAAAAAGAGAAAAAGCTACGTATCTAGAGTCCTAACATAATCACATGTTAGGATAGACCCCTCATGGGAAGTGGGTAATGAAACCCACTCGTTAAAGCACTTCCCTTTAAAAGCTGCGCGAGCAATCCAGTTGGCAGTTGCAGCAATAGAATGTCTTGGGACCTATTTGAAGTTGCAATAGCTTATCAATCCTCCAAGATTAAAGATAGACTCCATCAGTGCCACACCATTCCATTCAAAAAAACACCTATCTATTGTTTAAAGATTGCATTGATGGAAAATAAGCAAACTCACATATGGCATTAGTAATATTATTGATAGCATACCATTGTAAGCCTGCCAAAATTGCCATGACCTCACTCATAAAAGGGGAGACAGGCTCAATGAATTTCCCTATATAGACCAAAAAAATATCATTCATATTAACCAGAAAAAACCAATACTAAGAGAGTGAGTCTTACCATTGCAAGCAACATCGACGTACGAGCCATAAGCCTTACCAAAGAGATGTTATCTGCCCCAATTGTCCTGCTATCAAAAAGCTTGTTCATTAAGTCCAAGCCTTCTCTTGAAATTAACCACCCTGTAGGAATCCCAATAAAACAAAGCTTGGTGGATGATAGCCACATGTTCAACAAATTGGGTAAGAGCTATTTCACTTAACCGATAGGCATAAAATATATCCAAGATATAACATCGCTCGCAAAATATATGCTGCCTATTCCATATTCTTCTTTAAGTATAATTATCAATCCCAATCCAAGTCAAAAATAAAGGAGCATTCAGAGTACTATTCAGAAGTTGGGCAAATCTTAACACTAAAGCAAAACTTTGCTTACTTTCCATACTCTACTTCTTCCAAACCCCTAACATCATTTTAGAAAACGATAAAGCACTCGAGCCTTCCCTTGGAGTTGTGATTTCCCCAATCGCCAAGATGCTCAAATGTGCCATCTTCAACACCACACCAAACCGTAGTTTTGCTGCCCTAAACTTCCTCTCAGAACCCAAAAGACCACCATCAATCTTTGCCTTAATCTCACCATAATGAAATCCGCACTTGGAGGTACCCATTGGATATCCTCCACCATCACAATACAAGCGAAATCGCATTTTCTGACACTCACTACACAATTGAAGGTCCTTTTATGCTTTGATATCTGAAGAAGCTATAGGGAGAATGACAAATAAAGACCTTGTTAGAATATTAAATGTCAAATTAGGATTTTTCAACACTGACGTTCTCAAATTTCAGTACTTCTTCTATCACGTTTTAGTACTAAAAATCCTAATTTAGCATTAATATTCTTACAAAGTCCTTACTTGTCATTCTCCCAAGCCTCTAGTTCACCTCCAATCTATCACAAAATCAACCGGAGAAAAGTTTCACCACGCCATAGATCCTCAAAATTCCAAGTCATTACTAAATCTACCTAAGAAAACCCACTCACACGCCCAAAATCTAGCACCCACTAACACACCCACCCTAAACCTCTCACATGCACTCGACCTACATCGAAAAGAGGATGCTGCTGAAGACATCGATCTATCAAAGAGAGAACCCTCCAAGATGAAGGAAGGACAAGGCCCTAGCAGAGCGTTCTCTGCAATGCTTTCGCGATTAATAATTGCCTTAATTAGATCACAAATATTGTTGTTTATATAATCCAATTCATTTCAAAACTCCATGTAAACCCAGCATGGTTCCAAATTATAAGATCAATAACAGAAGACGGCACACTAAAACTACCTCCAACAGATAGCAATACTTTACCCAAAACTTCTATTACATCCAACAACACGGATTCTAAAATAAGGGGTAAAACCACCAAAACATACTCAAGAGATTCTAAACAATTATACCATTGTGAACCCATGAAATCTAGAATGGAAACATGCATAATATACTTATATAGTATACTTATACCACATAGGAGATAGAGGAACATGAATAAGCTACATCAAAGGATGAATAAGATCATTCATTGCCACATTCTCATACCTAGACGACACCTGCTCCGTTAATTGTGAACCATATATTAAATGCTCTTTGTCATCAATTTTGCTTTCAACATTTTAGTCCTTGGATCTAGGTTACATCATCTTTCACTCTTCCATCTTCATTTTCCACAAATAGGATTGGGACGAAAGTTGCACTTCCTTGACTATAGACACATTCATCTCTATCCTTTCAAGTTATGGCCTCTTCAAATCCCCTATCATCATCGCAATATATGTTGAAGAAGTTGAGAGTGCAATCGAGGATTTAGGTATAGATTGAGTTTTATCTGATTTCCTCTAATTTTTCTTTCGTCCCCAAAATCTACTCTTAGTCACTATTGTTTTGATTGCCAAAAACCACGTGCGCATGTACACACAGGCGCGCGCACGATTACAGATAGAAAAATTAGTTAGTGAATGCAAAATTAATACCTAAATTTGTGTTAAATACTAAATTTAATAATTAAAATGAAATAATCACTTTGTTTAAAAAATAAGGATTTTTCTAAGGTAAGATGCAATTAATGAGATTTTCTGACAATACCCTTAATTAAGTAGTGTAATTGAGACACCCTATTAAATAAGGATAAATATGAAAAGAATATATAATTTTAAAAATAGATAACTAAGTCATCATGAGATGTAGCATGATTAAAAGTGCCTTATCATTCATTCACTATTAAAAAAATGTAAATTAGCAAGGGATCATCTATTCCTCTCTAAAATATTAAATTAGTGAGGGATGTTAATTTCATAGCTCAACTTAAAATTAGCAAGAAAAAATAGTGAGAACTATCAATCCCTCTCTAAATTAAGACAATTAGCAAGGAAAATAACGAAACTACCAATCCCTCTCTAAAATGAAATAATTAGCTAGGGATTCTATCTCAAGCTAATTACTGAAAAAATTTAACTTTTGACAATGACTTTTAATTATATATTTAATTATTTTTATTTAAAAATTAAATTTAAAAATTAACTAAAATATTCATAACAAAATTATTTAATATTT